ATGCGCTACAGTCAGTTAAATACAGAGTACTCTGGATTCAAGTCCACTTCCTCTGCGATTAGTTCCTTGTTCTAAATGTACATGATCTTTAGGCTCCATATTGTATGTTTATTATGCTTACTATGCATAATAATCATACATGCATATATATGTATATATACATATAAATGTGTGTATTTATATATATACATGCATGTGTGTGTGTATGCGTATACATATATACATTTGTATATGTTTGTGATCACATTGCTATATATGTATAAACACATACAACCTTATACATATATACATATATACTACTTATGGATGAATAAATACAACCATTTCCTGTTGTATCGCACATTCAGAAAAGCAAACAAATGCGCAGTTGTGCGTTCAGGAAGTCGTACATAAGGACTGAAATACTATATCAATATACCGCCAATAGGCCTTACCTGCATCCTAGAATACGTTCGCTTTCCGTCACAGCTAGAATTAGGTCCTTCACCCCCCTTTCTCTGTCCAGTCGGTATAAATATCGCGCTCTGCCAGGAACCAACATCACACTCGTCCTCTCACTGCTCCAGAACACAAGCAGGTAAGGGACAAACAGATCCCTTTTCCTTATATTTCAGAATAGTTTTCTTTGATACATTTCGGAGCATTTCTCAGGTCGTCCACTTCTGAGGATTTCCTTTTTCTGCGTAGCCTCACTGTCAACTTTTCTCCTCACAGACTCCGCCACCATCATGAATTCTCGCGTGTTTGTCGCTCTCCTCCTGTGCGGCCTCTGGGCCTCCTCCGAGTCTTTCATCCTCTTGGGAACCACCGCCGCTGCTGGGACCATCGCCGCTACCACTGTCACTGCTTCTGCAGCGGCAGCTTTGGGCGTGGGCGCCCTGGCAGTGCTCAAGGGAGTTCTTATCGGGAAGCATCTGAAGCGCCGTTACAGGAGGGACGTCGATTCCATGGAGGAGGACGTTGCAACAGAAGTAAGTTAACGCTTATATCAATTACATTCACAAAATTTAATTGTGCAATTATGTATATGTAGAATGAAAGACATACATAAGGAATTCTGGACTTTACTAATAATATTCTTTTCACTCCAACAGATTGCTGTGGCCCAGAAGATGGACTCTGCTGGTTGCGTGGCCAAGCTCTTGTGCGAAATCGAGGCCATGTCCGCTGACCAGCTCACGCCAGCCATGTCCACCTTCAAGACCGCCTTCGACAACAACAGCAACCTCAAGGGATCCCGAGGCGTCTACGACCTGGCCATCACCTTCGGCTCCAAGTTCGCCAAGAAAGACGCCAAGGCCTGCAGCGCCCTCTTCGACAAGTGCGTCCTCTCCAGGGACGATCTCTCCTTCATGCTGGATTCCACCTTCTCATGCTAGTCATGAGCACCGCATTCTTACACTAAGCACCTCACAATCACACCATCATCACGCGCACACGCAGGCAGACTGAGTGGATCGGAGTCGTCACTGTGACCGAAGGTAGCTTTCAGACTGTCACTGACTGGACCTGAGAGTCACAGTGAATATCTGCAGTGTTCATAACGCCATTCATCTTTGCTTTCCAAATGAAATAAATCAAATTTTACTTCTCAAAAAATTATTTCTTTCCCTGCTCTTCATACAGTTCATATATAGTCACACACACATACACACACGCACACACATATATAATATATATGTGTGTGTGTTGTGTGTGTGTGTGTGTGTGTGCATATTTAAAGTATCAAATATATGAATGTACACTCACGCACACGCACGCACAATTTGACACACATATGTATGCGTAAGTGTGTGTATAGATATATTTATATATACAATTTCCATATATATTTGTACAAATTGTATACGCACGCACACACACATATATGTATATATGTGTAATGAAAAGGAGAACCAGTGCTGCGGTGAACATCTTTATTGTAAACGTTTCAGAGATCGTAATTCATCTCCATCATCAGTACTAGAAATAATGAACCAGAAACATATAATTAGATGTAGTAAACAAAAGAAAAACATAGTTCATAAGAAAAGCAACAATAAAATAGGAATAAAATCAAACAATAAGAAAACGGCAGAAACATAGTGAAAAAAGTGTGTAAGGGTGGGACATACCAAACAAGTGTGAAATGGTGGTTATGGTGATTACCAGTCAACAACTGGATGGCTGTGTTGGCATTCAGCTCGGGTTTCATCTTATGGGTATGCAGGGATTCTAGGATGAGGAGGTCGAGTCTGTTAGGTGTGGAAGACAGAATTTTAAAATCACTGTGAGTGAAAGGATGGTCTTCTGTTTGTGAATGATGGCGGATAGCGGAGAAAGATGGTCTGCTCAGAGGTAGGCTGGTTCTTATTGACTTACCATATGCTCAAGTATTCTATGTTTGAACCATCGTGTAGACGATCCAATGTACCTAGCATTGCATCTAGGACAGTTAAAAATATATACAATACTTGAACATAATTCTGAGGGCAGAAGCATTTTCATTTTAAAGAAAGAGTTGATATTATAGGAGTTCACAAAAACAATGTTGAATTTAATTTGTGGAATGAATGTTTCAGTATCTCACGTAATTGTTTACGGATGGTGAAGCTTATATGTCCAAGATACGGTAACTTTATATACTTGGTTTCTTTGGAAGCAGTCTGTATTTTCGTGGGTGGACATAATTTGTTATCTAGGAATGATCTAAGTGTCTTGTAAAATACGTTGTCAGGATAGCCATTGTTATTGAAGTAATCAACCAAGAATTTCATTTCTTTGTCAAACTGCATCCAGGTGGAACATATGTTGAAAGCTCTGTTGATTAGAGTGGTGATACTGTTAATCTTATATTTCATAGGTGAGAAACTTAAAAAGTTCATTCCCAAACCGGTGAAAGTAGGTTTTCTGTAAACTGTAGTGGAAAGGCGTCCATTTTCTTTAGATATCAGTGTGTCAAGAAAGGGAAGTTCGTTTTCCTTTTCTATTTCACACGTAAACTTAATGTTAGGGTGTTGGTCATTTAGGTAAGAAAGGAAATGGTCAATGTGTGACTGTTGTTTGAACAAAAGGAACGTGTCATCAATATACCTTTTGTAGAATATTGGTTTGAAATCATTTGGACAGTTATTTAACCAGTTACATTCATGGTGACATAGGAAGGCGTTTGCGTAACTTGGGACAAGTGGTGAACCCATAGCTACACCATCTATCTGAGTATATAAATTGTTGTCAAATGTGAAAACAGAATCTCTTGTGGCAATATTTAGAAAATAATTAAATTGTTATCAAAAGTGAAAACAGAATCTCTTGTGGCAATATTTAGAAAAGAATAAAACAGAGAATCTGTACACAGCCCTGACCATACTGAACAATACTCTGATGTTCTTCAAAATTTAAAAGATGATGGAAATATTGTAATAACAAGACCAGACAAAGGGAAAGGCATAGTTATCCTGAATAAGAATGATTACTATAACAAAATATCTAGCATCCTTTCAGACTCATCTAAATTTAAACTTCTACACGTTGATCTTCCCAGTCATCTCCTAAAACTTGAGGATAAATTAAACAGGATATTACGACCTTTAAAAGAAACCATCAATGAAACCATATATAACTCCATTCTTGCTTCTGGCTCTCGACCCGGTTACTTATATGGACTCCCAAAAGTTCACAAAATAGGGACACCCCTGAGACCTATTGTGTCCTCTATTAATACATTTAACTATAACCTTGCTAAATTCCTTGTCAAAATCATCCAACCCCTAACCATTAATGAGTATACTACTGCAACACTTTGGATTTTGTGGAAGAAATCAAACAACTCAACATTGAAGATTCCACAGTAATGGCCAGCTTTGACGTGGAATCACTATTCACTAACGTTCCTCTGTCAGAAACTACACAGATTATTACGGACTCCATATCAGACGAGTCCATATCGCAGTTTGGTCTAAACAAGAAACAATTTAATTCTTTTCTAAATATTGCCACAAGAGATTCTGTTTTCACTTTTGATAACAATTTATATACTCAGATAGATGGTGTAGCTATGGGTTCACCACTTGTCCCAAGTTACGCAAACGCCTTCCTATGTCACCATGAATGTAACTGGTTAAATAACTGTCCAAATGATTTCAAACCAATATTCTACAAAAGGTATATTGATGACACGTTCCTTTTGTTCAAACAACAGTCACACATTGACCATTTCCTTTCTTACCTAAATGACCAACACCTAACAGTAAGTTTACGTGTGAAATAGAAAAGGAAAACGAACTTCCCTTTCTTGACACACTGATATCTAAAGAAAATGGACGCCTTTCCACTACAGTTTACAGAAAACCTACTTTCACCGGTTTGGGAATGAACTTTTTAAGTTTCTCACCTATGAAATATAAGATTAACAGTATCACCACTCTAATCAACAGAGCTTTCAACATATGTTTCACCTGGATGTAGTTTGACAAAGAAATGAAATTCTTGGTTGATTACTTCAATAACAATGGCTATCCTGACAACGTATTTTACAAGACACTTAGATCATTCCTAGATGACAAATTATGTCCACCCACGAAAATACAGACTGCTTCCAAAGAAACCCAAGTATATAAAGTTACCGTATCTTGGACATTATAAGCTTCACCATCCGTAAAAATTACGTGAGATACTGAAACATTCATTCCCACAAATTAAATTCAACATTGTTTTTGTGAACTCCTATAATATCAACTCTTTCTTTAAAATGAAAATGCTTCTGCCCTCAGAATTATGTTCAAAATATTGTATATATTTTTAACTGTCCTAGATGCAATGCTAGGTACATTGGATCATCTACACGATGGTTCAAACATAGAATACTTGAGAATATGGGTAAGTCAATAAGAACCAGCCTACCTCTGAGCAGACCATCTTTTCTCCGCTATCCGCCATCATTCACAAACAGAAGACCATCCTTTCACTCACAGTGATTTTAAAATTCTGTCTTCCACACCTAACAGACTCGACCTCCTCATCCTAGAATCCCTGCATACCCATAAGATGAAACCCGAGCTGAATGCCAACACAGCCATCCAGTTTGACTGTGTAATCACCATAACCACCATTTCACACTTGTTTGGTATGTCCCACCCTTACACACTTTTTTCACTATGTTTCTGCCGTTTTCTTATTGTTTGATTTTATTCCTATTTTATTGTTGCTTTTCTTATGAACTATGTTTTTTCTTTTGTTTACTACATCTAATTATATGTTTCTGGTTCATTATTTCTAGTACTGATGATGGAGATGAATTACGATCTCTGAAACGTTTACAATAAAGATGTTCACCCGCAGCACTGGTTCTCCTTTTCATTCTACGACTACGGTTCCCGAGTGGAAAATCAACAACCGAATATATACATTTATATATACAATTTCCATATATATTTGTACAAATTGTATACGCACGCACACACACATATATGTATATATGTGTATATATACACATATATGTGTAAATATACGTGTATACATACATGTATATATACATATGTATGTATATATGAATATATACACACATATATAGAGAGAGAGGAGATATAAAGAGACATGCAAAGACAACAGACGGAGTTAAATCAATATTGTTATATCTAGCGCATCGCGGCAAAATCTCAGATCAGTAAGCCCGATAGCTAGGAAATATGTTAGAAAGCAATTCTAAAAGAAATCTAGCCACTTATAGGACCATATATATGTCTCAAAGCTTTTTTGCAACAATTACTCGCATGCCTCTGATACTGATCCATGTACAACGGTGCTGATGTAAACAACACATGGCTACTGTCAGTTAAAAGATTACCACAGTCATCTAATGTATATCAGTTGTCTACTTACAATTTTGAATGATGCTCTTTGATTAAAGGTCACCTGTTGCTAAGCTGGGGCGACAAGCCTAACCTTCACTGTAATTCTGGGCAATTCTGAAAACAAAGTACAAAGTATTTAT